GAGAGGGAGGAAAGAAGGAGAAAAATAAAGCTCAGGCTCAATTTCCCATTGCAGCTTGGCACATCCTGATGCACCCTCTTTTTTAAGCATCTGTACTTCACTTGCTGTGACTTAAGAGGCTTAAAACATTATTCTGATATTATTTTTATGAGAGTGGCAGTAAGAACTAAATTAAAATGTTCTCAATTTAGGCAAAGTTAGCCAGACACAGTGGCTCATGCCTGTAATCCCAGCACTTCAGGAGGCTGAGGCGAGTGGATCACTTGAGGTCAGAAGTTTGAGACTAGCCTGGCCAACATGGTGAAACCTTCATTTCCACTAAAAATACAAAAATTAGCTGGGCACAGTGGCACATGCTTGTAACCCCAACTACTCAGGAGGCTGAGGCATGAAAATCACTTGAACCCAGGAGGCAGAGGTTGCAGTGAGATGAGATCACATTACTGCACTTCATCCTGGATAATGGAGTGAGACTTTGTCTAAAAAAAAAAAAAAAAAAGGTAAAACCTATGTAAATGGTTTTTGAAATTGTGTTCTGTCTCGGTCATTGGAGATGCAACCCTTTGATGAGCATTTGATCCTTAAGCATTCTTAAAGTTGGAATGATAATTTTTTTATTCTTGGGAGTAAAGAACTTGGCTTTTATTGGTAGAGCTGTTAGGGAATGAAAAACATAAAGGGTGACTAGTCTCATAGGCAGAATTTTAAAACTGGCAGCCATGGGCAGATCTAGTTTTTAGAAATGTTTTGTTTGGCTTTTATTGTATTCTGAAGTGGAATTAGTTGCTAATACTTAAAAATTAGGAGATACCATGTAAAATCCAGACTTTTTGTTTTCTTGAAAAAAAAATCTAATTGTGCAGGGCACAGTGGCTCATGTCTGTAATCCCAGCACTTTGGGAGGCTGAGGAGGGTAGATCACGAGGTCAAGAGATGGAGACCATCCTGGCCAACATGGTGAAACCCCGTCTCTACTAAAAATACAAAAAAATTAGCTGGGCATGGTGGCGTGCACCCGTAGTCCCAGCTACTCAGGAGGCGGAGGCAGGAGAATCTCTTGAACCCGGGAGGTGGAGGTTGCAGTGAGCTGAGATCAAGTCACTTCACTCCAGCCTGGCAACAGAGGGAGACTCTGTCTCAAAAAAAAAAAAAAAAAAAAAAAAAAAAAAAAATCTAAAGAAACGGCAATATAAGAAAGCCACAGGCCGGGTACAGTGACTCATGCCTGTAATATCAGCACTGTAAGATGCTGAGGCAGGCGGATCAGGAGGTCAAGAGATCAACATGGTAACACTCCGTCTTCACTAAAAATACAAAAATTAGCTGGGCAAGTTGGTGCGCGCCTGTAGACCCGACTACTTGGTGGGCTGAGGCAGGAGAATCGCTTGGGTGACAGAGTGAGACTGCATCTCAAAACAAACAAACAAACAAAAATTAGGCAGAAACTGGCTGAGGTAAGATAGTGATTGCTACCATTGAAATGGATAGACTTTCCTTCACCTAGCTCTTCTGTAGCTGGCTTTTCTGGCTGTTATCTACTTGAACAGGTAGGTATTTGCATTTGCAGTTTCTTCATTAATGTTTACTAAGTAGTTAGTACTTCATGGTGTTACTAAGGATGTAGTATGTTGCTATTTCTCTACAGGATACTTCCATAGTTACTCTTCTTAACTATAAGAATTTAGAAGGATCTACCTGGATGCTCAAAAGGATAGAATGATTATATATAACCTAAAAGAATAGGGACTGACATTATTCAGACTCTTATTGCACCAATTTGTATAGGTTTCAGGGAGCTCTGATGTTTATGCTTAATTGTGTACATGATTTTGACTAGATCTAGGAATGAAGTGTTTTTTAATTATGTGATTTAGATATATCTCAAGAAGCTAAACTCACTCAAGTGTAATTAAATTGTTGAAAAATGAAAATACCTGCATTTTTGAAAATTAACATTTTTTTCAAAGAATGCATTCTAGAGGAGGATGATTCTATGTTTTTTAGGTAGAAAATGAAATAGATGGCTGGGCACAGTGGCTTACGCCTATAATCCCCGCACTTAGGGAAGCCAACGTGGTTGGATCACCTGAGGTCAGGAGTTTGAGACTAGCCTGGTCAACTTGGGTGAAATCCCATCTCTGTTAAAAATACAAAAATCAGTTGGGTATGGTGGTGGCGCATGCCTGTGATCCCAGTTACTAAGTAGGCTGAAGTATGAGAATTACTTGAACCCGGGAGACAGAGGTTGCAGTGAGCGGAGATCATACCACTGTATGCCATCTTGGGTGACAGAGTGAGACTCAGTCTCAAACCCCTCCCCCCCCACAAAAAATGAAATAGATTATTTGCTTACTAACTACCTGAAAACATAATTTAATATCTGAATTTATCTTTACTTTGACTGAATTAAAAGCAAATAAACAAGCAAAAGTGAATCAAGTATTTAACTGAAACCAAACATTTGTCTATAAGATTTTACTTTGGAAGCAGTTCATGGTCTCTTTACCTTTTTCTTTTCAGTGAGGAAATTATGATGGTAATTCTTGTTCTATGGAAACTGTTAGATTATGTTATCTGATAGCTCCATTTGCTTGGTTTGGTTTTAAGACTATGTACTTTAAAGTTTAATTAATACAATAATGGAAAAGGTTTACGTTTAGAAGATGAGTAAAAAAAATTAGCTTGAATCTTATGAAGGAAAGGTGACATGTAAAACAAATAAATTACATTGTAAGGGTTAGGCTGGGTGCAGTGGCTCATGCCTGTATTCCCAGCACTTTGGGAAGCCAAGGTGGGCGGATCACCTGAGGCCAGGAGTTCAAGACAACCTGGCCAACATGGTGAAACCCTGTCTCTACTAAAAATACAAAAATATTAGCTGGGTGTGGTGACACATGTCAGTAATCCCAGTGACTTGGGAGGCTGAGACAGGAGTACCACTTGAATCTGGGAGGTGGAGACTGCAGTGAGCTGAGATGGAGCCATTGCACTACAAATGGGCAACAAGAGCCTGGGCAACAAGACTGAAACTGTGTCTCAAAAACAAACAAACATTGTAAGGATTAAGTTAGAAATTGAGCCCTAACATAAGTTGAAGTAAACTTTTGACTTATTTGGGAGATTTTAGGAATGTTAAGCAGAATTCAGGTTTTGTTTTTTTTTTTTTTTTGAGATGGAGTCTCACTCTGTCACCCAGGCTGGAGTGCAGTGGTGCGATCTCCACTCCCTGCAACAAGTGATTCTCCTGACTCAGCCTCCCAAATATCTGGGATTACAGGTGCATGCAATCATGCCTGGATAATTTTTGTATTTTTAGTAGAGATGGGGTTTTGCTGTGTTGGCCAGACTGGCTTCAAACTCCTGACTTCAGGTGATCCACCTGCCTCAGTGTCCTAAAATGCTGGGATTACAGGTGTGAGTTCAACCGTCCCTGGCTGAACTCAGTTTTTTTAAAAAAAGCAGGAAAAAGCACTATACATGTCTAAATATAAGGTGATACCAAGACTTGGCTGTTAATGTGTTTTCTCAATGAGATACTTTGCACGCATAAAACTTGTAGACATGGATATAAAATAGTTAAATATCTACCCACATTTTAATGTATTCATTTACTTCCACACATACATTTTTAAAATCACATATTACATAAAATATTAATTTAGAAATATTACTTTATTTCACCCTTACAGTTCATTGATTTTATTCAGATGCTTCACATGTGGCTTGGCACCAGTGTTTGTCATCACCAACTCCCCTGTTTTGAGTCATCTCACGCAGTTGTCCAGCACACATCATTTCTACCTAAATTTTTTGAGACTCAGTGTTTTTTGGTAAAAACGTGATTCTGTCACTGTTAACTATATGCCAAACCACATGTGCTCTTTGCATAATAGGGGGACAATTTTTTTTAATCTGTTCTATAGGTGAATATGTTTGATCTCTAGCTTCTTAAAGTTATCTTTAATGTACTTTTGCATAATTATATCCAGCATTTGCAATTATAAGAAGTAATTGCAAAATGTATATGGAATTTTTGCTTTCAAAAGGATATCTTGTTAAATTATATTATACCTATAAGCATTTAAAACTAATAATGATGGGATTCTTTCAACCCTATTTCTTTTCTCTAAACCAAGCTTTGTTTTTCATGATAGAGTAATATAGAGACTTGGATAAGGATTTGGCTATGAGGTGACTCTGTCTTTCCTGAGACATTATCTTAGGGAAAGAAAAATACTTGCCTTATGCTTTTACATGTATGATACTTTCTTTTCCCTTTCAAGTTTATTCTTGAAATCTTTATTAAAGTGTAATGTGATGTAATAAAGCAGATAACCTGGAGAGGGGGAGAACTTCATTTAATGGCAAGTTGAGGTGATATTATTAATTTTGTGATTTTTTTTCTTATCTGAGTGCATATCACAATGTTTAAAATACCAGTTTCTTATAGAAACATTTCTATCAAAAAGCAAATGAATCAATAAATGGATATACGATGTGGTAGATATTTTTTAAAGAACATTTCCATAGTTGTATAACAATATTTATGTGAGATTTTTACTAGAAGGTAGCACTTAATTTGGCAGGAGATGTTGTCCTTGTCATTTCCTGATAACTATTAATTGCATGCTACAGAAGCTAAGAACAGCTAGTGCTTCTATATCAAAGGGTGATTGGCGGGGATGATAGAGCTTGGGCATCCAGGAGGATTTAGAACAGTCATTGGTTTCTGTCTTGGCTATTTAATGAAATACTTATTTTTAAGAATTTTAACAAATTGAAGTCACAAATACTTTTACTGTCACGTGTTCCATGAAAAAAATCTATTGTAACACTTTGCAGGAAAAAAATATCACTTTTATCCTGGAACTTCCATCATTGTATGCAAAAATGTTTATGTTATTAACATACCAAAAGTATGATAATTCAGTTCTACACATATTAGCAATACATTGTACCAATGAAAATAATTATGAATTATCATTGTTATCTCTTAACAGTGGAAAGAGTGGAACGAGAAAACCTTTCAGACTATTGTGTTCTGGGCCAGCGTCCAATGCATTTACCAAATATGAACCAGCTGGCATCCCTGGGGAAAACCAACGAACAGTCTCCTCACAGCCAAATCCATCACAGTACTCCAATCAGAAACCAAGTGCCCGCATTACAGCCCATCATGAGCCCTGGTCTTCTTTCTCCCCAGCTCAGTCCACAACTTGTAAGGCAACAAATAGCCATGGCCCATCTGATAAACCAACAGATTGCCGTTAGCCGGCTTCTGGCTCACCAGCATCCTCAAGCCATCAACCAGCAGTTCCTGAACCATCCACCCATCCCCAGAGCGGTTAAACCAGAGCCAACTAACTCTTCCGTGGAAGTCTCTCCAGATATCTACCAGCAAGTCAGAGATGAGCTGAAGAGGGCCAGTGTGTCCCAAGCTGTCTTTGCAAGAGTGGCATTCAACCGCACACAGGTACAATTAGCATTGAACGCTGTAATTAACAATAATACCAGGGACAGAATTGAGATAGGTCATAATTATTTTTATCTCTTTAAAAAGTTTTATGGATCTCAGCACATATAATTAGATTAATTAATAATCCTTAGTTCATGAAACGCTATCACCATTGATCCATGCATGACCTGATTAATTAATTAACCGATTAATTTTAATAATGTAATAGACATCTTTGAATCCAACATGCAACTCAGGACCCCAAATGTTACTAATGGCTTGGGTATGTACTCTCTCATCCTCTCCATTTATTGTTCCCAGATGTAACTCTGATCTTGAATTTTGTGATTATCACTCTCTTGCTGGTTTCCTTTTAAAACAAGTTATAAAACTATGCTACTCAATCTATTTTTTTCCCTTGGTTTTGAACTTTATAATAGAAATAAAATTATATTTTATAATTATATAAGTAAAGTTTTATTTAAAAATCTATAAAAATCCTTCAAAACATACAAGTTTGGTTTGAGATATTGATAAAATGATAATGGATAGCTTACTTTTATTTTTAATGTTTGAGAGAATTATATGCTAATATAACATTAAGTATTGAAAACGTAAACAGTTAATTCATGTATGTCTTATTTTATTGAGGGTGCTTATATGTAAGACATTGTTTTCCTCCAGTAGTTCTTAAACTGGAGTATGCATCAGAATCACCTGGAGAGCTATGAAAACACGGAGTGCTGTGCCTTGTCCCATAGTTTCTTATTGAGTAAGTCTGAGGTTGGATTCAGGAATTAATATTCCTAACAAAACCCCAGGTGATGCTGATGGCACTGGTCTGGGGCCACATGTTGAGAAACACTTACCTAGCCCTTATATGAGTAAGAACAAAGCAAATGTGCATAACCTCAGGGAGCTGGTGATCTGGTGGTGAAAACCGTGTAACCAGATAACTAGAGTAAAATGTGAAGTGTGATGAGTAATGTGGGAGAGTATAAGCAATGATTGCAGTGGAGGTTCATGGCGAGCTGGAGGTGAGGAATACTTCCAGGAGAATGAATATGGTAAGCCTTCAAGAAAACAGTAGGTTAAAGTTTCAGTACCCTGGTAAATGCAAGGCAAGAAGCTAAGCTCTGTGTAGATGCAAAGAGGAAAAAGATAATGGGCAAGCACTTATGTAAACAACACACTAGAGTATTAGGTTGTCAAGGGATTAGACCTTGAAGGATAAATAAAGCACAGCAGCCAAAGATGAAGAAGAAGAAGAGTATTATTTTAAGCTAAAGAAATTCATAGGAAAAATGTTGAGTTAAAAAATGCAGGAATAATTTGAAGACATAAAACAACTCATTTCTCAGAAAAACCCTGTGAATGTACAGAATGTAGGAATGCCTTCATTATCTGATATCTGTTCACAGATACATGATAACACACACTATAGATGGACCTTACAAATATAAGAAAGCATGCTGGATTGAAACTCCAATAGTTTGGAAGATGCAGGAATGTTTCCAAATTTAATGATTATTTCAAAAGTTAAGAGGCTGGGCATGGTGGCTCATGTCTGTAGTCCCAGCACTTTGGGAGGCTGAGATAGGCATATCACTTGAGGTCAGGAGTTCAAGACCAGCGTGGCCAACATGGTGAAACCCCATCTCTACTAAAACAAAACAAAACAATTAGCTGGGCGAGGTTGTGCATACCTGTAGTCTTAGCTACTCAGCAGGGTGAAGCAGGGGAGAATCACTTGACCCCAGGAGGTGGAGGTTGCAGTGAGCCTAGATTGTGCCACTACATTCCAGGGTAGGCTACAGAGCAAGACTCCATCTCAAAAAAAAAAAACTTAAGTGAAAACTCTCACCGGAAAGAAATCTGATAAACATTGGTAAGCTGGATTTCCTAATGCAAGTTAACGCTCAAAGAATGCACCTAAATGAAATCTTATACCGGTTATAAATATTTTTTGTTTATCAGTGGTTCATTGTTAAAGAGAGTCTGCGTACTTTTGGTTTCCACTTCTTTTGCAAGAAAGCATTGAGGTACGAATTTTGTGGATACTCTTTAAGCAATGCTACATGAGTTAAATAGACAGTGTTTTTAAGTCAGTCAATACTTTTTTCCTCTCTTTATTTAAAAGTGTGTTGGGTCTCTGGTTGAATTGAAATGTATTTCTGTTATGTAGGCAACTTTAATTTTTATTAGTTTTCAAATTGTCCTATGATTAATGAGACATTGAAAAATGAGTTTTTGTTAATGGTTGGGATTTTCCTACTGGCCTCATGTGGCAAGTTGTGGTTTATCTCTCATTATATATATTCTACCTTTTCATGGGAAAAACTTCTAATTTTGGTGTAAAGATATTTGTTATATTTTCTTGCAAAGAGTTGTTATCAATTTGCAAGTATAAAAACTGTAAGTATAGTTGGTAGTTGATAAGAAAGGTAGGTAATAAAATGTAAAAGGGAGGGCACAGATTGAAAAAGGTCTTGAGTGCCGTGACAAGAGCGCTGAACTTTAACAGGCAGTGGAAACCATCTAAGGTCTTATGTAGGAATGTGCTGTGCTCAACCATCTGAATTAGATCTTACAGAGGGTTGATAGCAAGAGGGTAGGAATTTGATTTAGGAAGCTGCTGCAAGTATCCAGCTGAAATGTAAGGAGGTTTTGAACTAGACTGGTGGGCAGGGTACAGAGAAGAAACATTTTGGAAATAAAATTGACAGAAAGTATATGAATGGATAAAGAGAGGAGTAGAGCTGACACCGAGCTTCAATCCCAATGACTGAGAATAAAGGTATAATTATGAAGAGAATCGAGGAATACATGGAAAGAGTGGTTGGAATAAGTTTAAAGCCATCATTTTAGGTAGGGTTATTTTGATGTTGAAGTGCTGGCCGACTTCTTAAGTGAAAATGTGCAACAGTCATTGAAAATAGGAGTTTGGCACTAGAGATTGTTATCAGTGCTAGAGAAAGAGATTAGAAATTGTGTCACAGGGCCTGGGACAGGAAATGGTAGAGTCAGCGTATGGAAGGGGAGAATCCACCACTATTGCCCAGCAGCACCAGCCCTAGGAAAGAGAGACAGAAGAAATGCCAGGAGATGGGGACAGGTAGAGGTGGAAGAATAGGGACATACACAGTAGTGAGAGTAAAGAGGACATGTGTGGGGAGTTTCCAGAAGAAGACTTGCCTACTTGTGGAAAGCTAAGAAGTTAAGAGAGAGAGGCTTAAAACCATGTCATGAGATTTGGCAGTTGGTTGGAAGAAGACTGGTAAAATTTAGAGTGTAATTTCATTGGAGTGATGAGGACAGGAATCAGAATTCAGGAGTTAAGGAGTGATTAGCTGTTGAGGATGCTAATGTACTTAAGAAGTTAAGTACATGACACTTCCCAAAATTTGATGTTGAAAGGGAGGCTAGAAGTGGATGGGCAGTTTGGATGTGATGGGGGTCAATTTGAGATCACGGGATTTAGGAGGTAGTTTGGGGCCTCACAGCATGAACTAGGGATGGTACCAATCATTGTGATTTGCTAACGGTCTTCTGCAGCGCTGAAACTGCAGGACTGGGAGCAAGGAAGAAACACAGTGGGATTGTTTGAGGTTTGCTGCTGATATTTTAGGTATGGCAGGAGACCAAGAGAGGTGAAATCTCTTGCTCCCTTGACTCTTAGCTAATTTATACATTCTAATATTGAAAGAGTCTTTTAACATCACTTGAGAATGAGTTCAGAGGTCCTAACAGACTCTCACATGTTCCAGACATCACTCCTCCACTTTCTCTTGTCATTCAAAGTACTCAGGCAATATTTGTGTGTCCATAGTTATCTGGACTGGAGTTATGAAAGGCTCTGATACTTTTGAGTAAGTCTGTTGCATACTACTGCAAAATAAAAATTGGAAGGATCTATCTTTTGGCTCTGTATTTTGCAATTCTCCCTTCTCTCGTTCTTTCTCTCTCAATCTCTCTTTCTCTCTCTCTCAATCTCTCTTTCTCTCTCTCTCTCTGTGTGTGTGTGTGTGTGTGTGTGTGTGTGTGTGTTCTTTCGTCTCTCATTCATGTGCATGAATAGGCATTTCATGTCTAGCCACGTTTTATTGCCTAGTTATGTATACAGCTTCTTTGACTAAGGATAAAATTGAAAGCATAGTTGTATTACTTTGGATTTTAGAAGCAAACACAGTATACATTTTATCCAAGTAGCATGAAGCATGAGAGAAAACTCACAATGAGGTAAAATAAAGACAGACCATATTGGTGAGAGGATATACTTTGCCAAGGCCCTAGACTCCTGGAGGTCTGTCTTCTCCCATATAATCCTTTTTGTCTATTTTTATGGATTAATGATTTTTCTTTGGCATTGCCATCTTTGAAGTGCCAAGTTATAAAAGGTCTAATTGAAGCATGGAACACATTTTATTATTTTCCTCCTGCCATTAAATTTGTAAGATGGCTACACCCAGAAAGAAACATTCACTTTCAATCAACATGAGCTTGAGTTCATGGGCCAGCCTTGAGGATATCAAATGGAAACTGCATAGGAATGTATGAGTATTTCCTTTTAAAATTCTGCTTTTAATTTGGGAAAGCTTTTCAGCCCTCTGGGATCATAACCTGTTGTGTATAAAGCCCAACCTAATCAAGGTAGATGGTATTGACAGAATGACATGGTTTGAACTTAAGCAGGAGGTCAGCAGGCAGATTGTTTTTTGCTGTATGTACTGTAGTCACTAACAGCAGGACAGGGCAGCTGGTTTTACCAGCAGCATTGTTAAATGGAAAATATGGTATATTATGCCCCATGGAACCAACCATAGGTTTTCCAAATGTTTAGACTTTTTTGAGTGAAGTCAGACATTTATGGATGATATAATAACTTGCCAGCTAGAATAAACAAAAATAAACATTGTAGCATATCCTCAGTCAATTGAATATTTTCCAGAAATAGTTCATGATTTCTGTTATTCATATATTATCAAATTCAATAAAAAGCATTTTAATGCATTTTGTCA